CAAATACACGGTCCATGTTTTTTAGTTCTTGAGATATAATCTTTAAAACGTAACACCCAAACTTCATAATCTTTGGAAAAGAAATTGGAATGCGAGTTGAAGATCTAATATTAGTTGACAAATTAAAAGAAATAGCATGAATATCTTCCACAGACATGATTTTTAGATGAAAATTTGAGTAAGGATCAAGTCAATGAGAAAATTTAGAATTCAAATCAATACGAGCAATGAAACAAAGAGATCCATATAAAATAGCAATTAGATTGCAAAATACATAATAGATCTAGAAAACAATGTAACAAACAACAAACTCGGAAAATAAAAAGATTTGAAAATAGCTCATAGAAATCCTTGCTCTGATACCACTTTTAGGATCGATGAAATTCTATAAGACATAAATCATGTTTACATGTGTGAAATTTTATGTACACAAGAAAGTAAATATGATCAAAATTTCGTTAGACAATAAGAAGCTCAACTACCAAATAACGTAATAACCTCTCAAAAGATCGATATTCTTTCTTTCAAACTAACATCCCTTACATAGGTCACCCTAAGGGAGTTGGTTAGGAAATGATCATTAATGTATAGAAGCTAAGAAAACCTATCAAAACTAACTAATAAAAGCTACGAAGTCCAGTGCTAAAACTACAAGAGTCAAAAGACTTTCGTAGTTAAATATTTCGCAATACAGACCGAAGACATAGAATAATACAATATGAAACATTTCACATACAAACTCAAACACAACATCTATAAGCTGCAAGACCTAACAATAATGGATAAATATGATTCAAAAGTAAGTGAAATGACACTACGCCATAATGAAATGGGAAAATATATGAATTGGGGATTAAAATTCGAACAAACAGTTCATATTAAACAACAAGAAAAGTTAGACAAGCACATATAGTCGTAGGAGCATATTTCACCTTGTGACAACCCAATATTTCGAGGTAATATGATGGAACGCAAGTCAAATTTATGTCAAAATTTAACTTTCCTATAACCTTATTTGGGTTAAATAAAGTAGTAGGAATCGTGTCAAGGTTTTCATACATATAAAGAACCCTAAAATCCGAGTTATAACGAAGAAGTTATGGCCAATCGAAGATTCTCGGCAAAACTGACAATATTGATAAACGTAAAACGCGAAGTTTCAATACAATAGTTTTTGGCCTTAGGTATCTAAATGAAAGTTTTAGATATCATCAAACCCCTAAATGTACATAAAAAGAACGTCCAAATCTGACTTCGTATGAGGAAGTTGTGATTTTTCTAAGTTACAGATATAACAGTAGACAACTAAAAACTCGAAATAGAGATCGAGAGACTTTTAGCCGACACAATCTAAATGAGAATCGAAGGGCTCAACAATACTAGCGCAACGGTAAAAAGTCTGATGCAAACGGACGTCGGATGAAGAAGTTATGGAACTTTAACGAAACTTTTCCTGTCTCGACCTATTAAAAATATAATATTAAAAATAAATTCAAAACTAGCCGACGGAGTCTAAATTAAAGTTGTAGATCGTAGTCTCACCTTCGCGTGGATATAAAGAACGTCAAAAACGGAGTTCGTATGAGAAAGATATGAATTTTTGAAGTTTACTAATTAATTAAAATATAAATTTAATTAAGGCCCGGTATTATCTGAAGAATGAGTCAGCGGTCCGATCCCCGGTACGCCCAGCGTACTCAGATGCTAGGCTCCGGTTCATCCACATCGCTCCGATGTTTCGACTGAGGATGTGCTCATGCATGACGCATGAGTACGCAGCTCGTACTCTCGTACGCCCCGCGTAACGAGACCTTTCAGACCCCTATAAATAGAGATGCGAGGGTGCCGACCATATTTGCTAATTTCCTTCCTTTCTCGCGCCGAAGCTCTGCGTTTCAACCCTCAGAGTCATCCCAAAGGCCCGGTTTTCATATCCAAGGTGGGAAGAAAGTTTTACACTCCCGAGACTCCCGAGATTTCCCGAGAATCTCGAGAGATCCGCTTTCTCGAGTAGAAGTTCTGCTCGGTTTTTGTCACGCTTTCTTCAATCAATCAAGTGAGTTCATACCCCTATAAACTACACTTTTAAATGTTTTATAAATACTTTTATATGCTTTTAAGGGGGGGGGGGGAATACAAGTTAAATACTCGATTATTGTTGTGTGTTATATAATAAAGTTCATTATACGCTTTTTATCAATGGAATCATATGTGATTTATAACAATTATAGGGAAACTTTCGTAAGAAAAATATATCACGATAACATCATAACTTTTGAAATGAAAAGTGTTGTTATATATATATATATATATATATATATATATATATATATATATATATATATATATATATATATATATATGAATCAAAGACTCTGCTTATACTGTATGTATATGTGTCCATCTTTGGTACTACAAACATACGATTATTTTGGCACGAAAAACATCAATATTTTGGGATACTTGTTGTAATAAATCAATCATATGGGATTTATAACTAGTATACAAATGGATTTACTACAAGTTTAGCAGTTTTACTAAACATATTACTTCAAATGACTTTCTTAAACGTTTTTACATGATTAAAGCTCTTTATCAAACTGTCTTACACACTGTAAGCTTCCTTTCAAACTCGGTTACAAAGGTGTTTTCAAACAGTGGTTTTCCGTGTACTTAAACTGTCTTATCAAACAAAATACTTTCAATCGTTTTATAAACTGACATCAAGTCACAAATTCTTTATTAGACTTTTCAACGGTTTTACAAAACTTCTTTTATGCTTTTATATTATAAATTGCATGCCTCTATATGTATAGTTATATAAGAAATGTTTAAAAGACTTAGGAAGGCTATCCACCCTATTTCCTTTTCCTCGATTTGGATGTGGTCTGGTGGGATATCGGGTACCCGTCCGAAGGTCGTTTAAATATTAGTTATATATCATGTGTACATATATAGTCATAAATGTTCCATCAGTTAATTCTGTTCTGACGCTCTTGGTAGCAAGGTGTATAAATCTACTTGGACACTCATCAATTACATTCTAGTAAACTATTATAGGAATAGTTTAGGGGATACAAAACATTATTCCTATTACAAGAAATTACACCAGAGTCAGTTCATTCATGAGTCTAGACTACATGCTATATGAAGGGATACTCTTACAGAGATTCCTCTTACATGGATATATTTATAGGGATACTCTTACATAGATACGCTTACATGAGTACGTTTACATGAATACTCTTACATGAATACTTATACATGAATACTTTTACATAGACATTATATGGCAAATTACTATTACATATTATATGTCTAGATACTGTTATATAGTTCTCCTTTCTATCTTTACCTTGTGATACAAACACATCATCGACGAGATAGATTGGACTTTATATCCTAGTACCAAAGGATACTTTACGGGATTAACCATTCCTAGAATCTCTATTAGCTACAAAGGTAAATGCACATCCACGGATGTCTTCGGTTGATACCATTACAGGTATACTTTAAGGGATTAACTATTCCTACACCCAGCTGTTAGCAACAGAGGTAAATGTACATCTACGGATGTCTAAAGTTAACACTGTTAGTTATCCTAGTATAAAGGGATAATACGTAAGTTAGTTATCCTAGTATAAAGGGATAATACGTAAGTTAGTTATATTATTACCATTATCTTGTGACTCATCCACATAACCAATGAGGTGAATCGTATTTGAGTATCCTAGTACCAAAGGATACAATTTCTTATATTAATAATAATTGTCAAACAGTCGGGTCTTGGTAGAAGACTACTTTCAAAACAACTAGGTCTTAGTAGAAGATTTCATCTATACTAATAGGAATCATAGGGATTTCTAGGGTTTACCAAACGGTTTCGATTACTTACAAACATTTCCACACTTATACGAACTTTCTTTCAGAACATTTCATTACAAGTCTTACAAATCAAAAACACATTAATACTTATGAATTCACCAGCTTTTTGGCTGATACTCGCTTTCAAAATAACTTGTATTCTCAGGTCACAAATAGACAGGTACGACGACCAGGTTTTGTGAAGACGGAGCAATCCAGACTCGTCTTATTTTCTGATTATTCATTTTATTGTTGTATATTATGAAAGAACACAAATGTACTTGAAACTTATACTATTAATGCAATGGATGATGTTGTTGCTTGTTTACTACTTTACATTGTTGTGATACATTACATGACGTCCTCCGCCCCAGAACGTTTCCGCCGTTCTCGGTTTTGGGGTGTGACACACCTGTTGGGGTACATAATGATTATTTATTTAATCTGCATGAAAAAAGCAAAATGAATAATGAAATGGTTGAGACGATTGATAAGACCATGAAAATTATTGGTGATCGGACCTTCAGTCAAGATGAATTCTTAACAAATATAAAGATTTTTTGATTTTATGTTTTCATGTTTTTATTTTAAAGTTTAATTTAATGAAATATATTTATGGTTTACAATGAGGGCATTTATTAACTTTGGTGTAAAAGCCAAAATTAAGAAAAAATATAACATTTTAGTTTTGTTTTAGGTTTTAAAGGTATGACCTTTTTAGTTTAGTTCTTAAGTTTTTTATTTGGTCTTAGAGCATCCACAATGGTGAGTTTAATGGGAGAGTTGAATGAGATGACAAGTCCATGTGTCATTTAATAGATAAAACTCAACCATTGTAAGATGTCACCTTGACATTCAATGGATTTGGAGTTCAATGACCATTAAACTCTTCAATGAGAAAAAGGAAAGTTTTAATTCTTAAATATTTACTACAAATTGCATTTTGTAACATTCTATTGAACTTAAAAAAAAATATAATAGAGTTGTAAGGATTGTAAAACGATGATGTGGCAATCCATTGAACTCTACGGAGTTCAATGCATTGTGGATACTCTTATGTACTTTTAATTTAATGTTTTTTTTATTTCTAGTAAATTGATTCAATAAATAAGCAATGATTTAGATTTAGAATACAACTTTTGTTAAAATAAAATGTAAAATACATTTCTAAATTTTGAGTAAGATTGAATGGATTACAAATTGAATTGATCAACTGAATCAAAACTTATCGATACCTGGGAAAAACTTTCACAAACAATCTAACCGCATGTAAAATTAACTTTCATCAACAATAACCACAATATCACTTATTTAACAAGTCAAGTACAACATAATATGATATCAGCAAAGGAATAGACACTATGGTGCCAAAAATGACCCTGAAATATAACATGGAAAATACATTAGAAATCATCCTTAGCCAAAATAATGATAATGTTGCAAATAAATTAGAAAATCATCACTTAGTATAATCAGTACTCTTGGCCAGAATAATGAGAAAGTTGTAAATATACGACTGTAATAACATGTCAAATAACTTTTAAGACAAAAACTTAACAAAAAACTTACGCAGTGCTAAGCACGCTTGTGTGCAGTTCATATTCCTTGGCAAACACGAATGATGCAATGGCTTGTGGTAGTGCAGCCTTACAAGAAAAGTAACAGTAGAGACAAACAAGATTGTGAGGTTAGAACTTGATATAAATAGAAATATAAGAAAATATGTTGTTTGATAATGTGAATACGATCAATCTCACAGAACTATTGTTAATTTGATGGATTCTCACTAATTCTAATTCATTTTTGTTCTTATGCATTGCTTTTTTATTTATTTTAATTCTTACAAAATATGACTCAATAAACATCCTGATAACATTCTGACAGAATGAGAATAATTAAAAAATTTATAATAACCTTATAGACGATTTAATTAGTGAAAATGCATAATAATTACAATAATTATATAAGATTGAACGTCTTCATATTATCAAACAATATATTTTATTTGTAATTTTTACAGAATAACATTATCCAAACGTCCGTATAATAGATATCAATCCACATTTGAATCTAGTTCTCTCTTTCTCTCTCTCTGTCTTTATATATATATATATATATATATATATATATATATATATATATATATATATATATATATATATATATATATATATATATATATTGTAAAGTATGATCCATTATGTTTGTGATAGTTTGAATGAATTTATATGAAAATGATTAAAGATTTACGTTCCTAGAGTATATATATATATATATATATATATATATATATATATATATATATATATATATATATATATATATATATATAGATCTTCAAGTTATGTTTACCTGAATAATTGCAATACAAAGGACATCACCTCGTAAACCCATAATAAAAGAACTAACAGCCATCGTTGCTGGTGCTACCACAAACCTCAGTAGCATCCCAAATGCAGTTAGAGTCGCACCACAATCAATTATCTTGGGTTGTAATGCCATGAACAGTCCTGCATGCATTATTGTCCAAATTTAGCAATTAACTCCTTTTTTTTTAGAGTACTATATATTAATTTCTTTACTTTTCATATAAATTCATGAACTAGAGGATGTGCCACAAACATATGCAGAATTGTAACGTACGGGATTAAAATTAAATTCTCACCCATGCAAAACATGGCAACACCTGAACCAGCTCTTGACATGATCAGCACCGATCCTTCCACAATAGTTGGCATTTTCAAATCCCACCTGCAGATCGATCGTCATCATAAATGCAAACGATATAGATTAATTATTATACAAGAAATAATAAATCAATTAATATGCATGCATGTTAATTTGGTGCGCCATATATATAAATAATGATTAGTGCCTAATAACCAATTGTCCTTACGTATATAAATCATGCATGCATACAAAACAAGTCACCTGTTCGATACAAGTGCCCATGCAAGCCCAAGGATGCATGCATACGCATTAGGGTTTTTAGCAAGCTTAAACCCTACAATCTTGATTAAAATCAAAAGCGATGGCCTTGTAGTTATCGCATCCTCCTCGGTATGGCCTTCTAGATCATCTGTTGTTGAGTCATTCGTCAAGGATTTGTTTACACTTTGGAACTCGTACATCATCAGTAGGATTATTATCCAAACCGTAAATTGCAAAATCGAGGATTGGATGACAAGGTTTTCTCCAAAAGGCCCATACATTGCTCCAATAAGGGGAACGCCTACAACAAGTGTGTTATTCAAGGTAGACAAGGAGAAGCTTGTGATTGACCAGGGATAGTTTCCTTTAGTAGAAAGCTTTGCCCATAATGAGATTGTTATGATGATGACAGCTTTGGAGATGACATCTGCCCCTAGGAAACGAAAGTTCATTTTATAGGGATTTACTCGGGTTGTGAAGTCGAATGTGAAGAGAGGCATAATGAAGTAGCAATTGAGCTGGTTTATGGCATCGCAATGGTCTGGTTTGAACATGTGCCACCATTTCACTGAACCATACCCTAAGATTAGTGCTACGTATAGCGGAAACATTGACGCTAATACCTTGTAGATGTCTTCCCACCCTATCATTTTAATTTAGCGTGTGTGAGTTGTTTCTATTTTGCTTTCAGAATACGTTAATTTGTTTATATATAGTGCTGGTAGAGATGACAAAGAATACACTAACCAAGTTGGATGGGAGAAAGAACGGAGGAGTTTTAGTACGTAGCATCTTTATGCAACTCCACTAAGTTTATTTTTTCCAAAACCTTTGCTGGTTTTTGATTCCTTATATATGTGGGTGGATTGATGTTCTTCCCACTACTAGAAATATAAGCTTTCCAATTTTTTCTTTCCCTTTGTGTTTATGATGCTTAAAGCTTTCTGTGACATAATTAATATGGTATTAAAAATGCATTTCACTCGAATCAAGCTTTTCCTACAAAATATTATTCTAAATTTAGTCACTAGTAGAAAACCGATTTAATGGTGCGATGCCTATTTTTTTTTGGGTGCGGTTTATATTCAAAACCGCATTATTAAATAAGATTTGCATCAACAAACATAGAACCGCATCATTTACTATATGGGAAAATGACTTAAAAGCCCAACGAAGTTTCCAAACTATTCAAAAAACCTCAATCATGTTTTATCTGTTCAAAAAAATCCAACGAACTTAACCTTTTGTCTAAAAAGTCCAACAAAGTTTCAAACCGTTCAGAAAATTCCAATTTTGTTTTGTTTAAGTTCGTTGGGTTTTTTTTGAACAGTCAAAACATGATTGGAGTTTTTTAAACGTTTTGGAAACTTCGTTGGTCTAACAAGTCATTTTCCGATATGGTAATAAACCACGTCATCTGGTTCTCTTATTTGACTTTTGATAAAGTGTAACTTAGTTGGGTTTTTTAGATAAAATGTTAAGTTTGTTGGGTTTTTTTGAATAGACAAAATATTATTGGAGTTTTTTAAACGGTTTGGAAACTTCGTTGGGCTTTTAAGTCATTTCCCCTTACTATATTTATTGGTGTGGTTTTCATATAATCGCATTAAAAGGAATCACAAACGCCTTTATTGATGCGGTAGACCAAAATCGCACCACTTCTTGTGGGCAGATGTAAAGATCCATGCATTGACCTTTTTCTTGAAGAACTCTCATGTGCAATAAGTTCTAACGAGATATCTCCCTGATGTTCAGTTTTGTTCTCTCTTCAACTAGTTTGAACATATGTTTTTTTTTCCTGATAGATTTGCTTAGATATTTGTTTTGAACCAAGCACCACTTCTTGTGGGCAGATGTAAAGATCACAGCTTCTTAATCTGTCAATAAAAGGCATCCGATTTATGTTTGGGTTTCCACTTGGTGATTATAGCTTACAAATTAATTATTTCCTTGCATAAACAATTTCTTGTACATATTGTCATAAGCAACTGTTGGTAGATTACTGGATCACTTTGAGGTTGATTTCTTAAATCGGTTGATGTTGTCTTCTCTAGGTTGTTTTGCAATAGAATTTGTTTAATGATGCGAATTGTTTTAATGGTGTGGTCCTGTATTTAATAGTGCAAAGATTTGTTGGTGCGGTTTTGATACTTTTTTTGTTCAATTTTGTATTGTTCCAGGTATATTTGTTAGTGCGGTTTTGCTATTTTTTGAGGCGGTTTTATAACCAATAAAGAAGGGTTTTTTATGATGCGATATTTGTTGATGTTGTTCGATACCCACACCAATTAATCATTTTAACTGCATCAACAAATGTTTTCTGTACTAGTGAGTATAAATCTTGAGAACACTTCTAAACCCGAGAAGGCCGCCAATGAAAATGAATCAAGTACTTATGCTCAACTAACCATAAAACAATCTGGAGGATGTTTGGGATCCTAAAGACAAAACTGTACAAATGGTCCCTGTGGTTTGCTGAAAATTGCCACTTTGGTCCAAAAATGTTTGGACTAGCACCAGAGGTCCAAACTTTTCATTTTGTTGCAAGTTTGGTCCAATTTGGTTTGAACTTTTTTATAAAGACGATTTTGCCCCTGATTATTTAATATTTTAATTTTTGTTTTATTATAATAATTAAAAAGAATTAAAAGAAAAGAAAAAAGAACATACTCTGTCTCTGTCTCTCTCTCTCTCTTTTTCTTTCTTTCTTTCTCTCTCTCTCTCTCTCTCTCTCTCTCTCTCTCTTTCTCTCTCTCTCTCTCTCTCTCTCTCTCCAAAGCAGACGAGCACCAGAGGTTATACAACCTTGTGATCGATCGACACTCCCCGGAAATCCCCTTCTAGCCTCGCCTCTCATACCTCTCTCTCTCGAACCAACCGTCACACCCGCTTCTTCTTCTTCTTCTTCTTCTTCTTCTTCTTCTTCTTCTCCTGTCGAGCAAAACCCACCGAGGACCTCTTCTTCTTTATTGTTGTTGCTCGTGGCACCTCATCGGGACCCCCAAATGAACCTTGTTTTCGATTCCTCTTCCTGTTTCAAACCAACACCGGAGGCGTGTGGTCTACTGTCGTTCTCTTCTAACAATCGCTCGGGGATGAGAAGGCCAAATCGGAGACCAAATTTGCAGAGATTGGCACTCTACCTGTGTGTGTCTAGGGTTTTTTTATTGGGGGTGATAGAAGGTTAGAGAAGGAAGATTCTGATGCTAAAACGACTTCATCTTTGTTCGAAGCAATCCCGACGATCTCGATTCTCAAATCGCCTCTCTCTACAACTTCTTTACGAACCCTTCTCAGATCTTACACCGATGAAGGTTTGGCGCTAAACTCGACTGATGTCCTTCTAGTTTTTTGAAACCCTAGCTATTCAGATCTGTTGTGGTGTTTGTGTGTTTAATCTCTCGTTTATCTTGTTCGAGTTTGTGTGTGTGTTTAATTTGTATGTGTGTGTGTGTGTTTGTGTTGTATCTGTTGAAAAATCGATGGATGTTTGTGTTGATCTGTGTTTGCTCATCAGATTTCATTTTTATGTGTGTGTGTTCATTTGATCTGATTTTGTGTGTGTGTTCATCTGATTTCATTTAGGTGGAGATGGATATGACAAATTGTGGTTGTGGCAGGCGGTCATCAAACAATGGTGGTGGAGGACGACGGTCGAATTGTGGAAGTGGCGGAAGATATTCTTCAGCATTCTTGAGGAAGAAGAAGAAGATGGGTGAGAGAGAGAAAGAGAGAGAGAGAGAGAGAGAGGGAGAGATAATATTTTCTTTTTTCTTTTAATTTTAATTCTTTTTAATTGTTGTAATAAAAGAAAATTCAAAATATTAAATAATCAGGGGCAAAATCGTCTTTATAAAAAATTTCAAACAAAATCGGACCAAATTCGCAACAAAATGAAAAGTTTGGACCTCTGGTGCTAGTCCAAACATTTTTGAACCAAAGTGACAATTTTCAGCAAACCACAGGAACCATTTGTGCAGTTTTATCGATCCTAAATAATATCGGTTTGGAAAAAACAGTGTTGAGCTAGTGGCCAATTTTCAATATTGCACATGCACATCACTCAACCCAAAAGTCGAAAACACTACCCTATTAATTATTATAACATGAATTGAAGGTTTATCCCCGTTGAAGTGCCAATGTGCACAACTATTTCTATATTGGAAGAAAGCGAATCGTATGTTCTTTTAGTGCTTGGGGATCGTGGGCGCCTTCTTGATTTCAAAAACCAACAACCGTTGATTCAAGGATGGTTTCCTCTTTCCTCTTTTTCTCTTATTATATCAGGAGTCAAAATTTTTATAGATATCATCATATATATATATCATGATGTTTCATTGTTTCTAGTCGATGTTTAGCCACTAAGCAAAATTTACTTAGTGTGTTAGAAATTATTTATAACCATTTCCATTTGCCGATTAGAGGAAAATCAAATAATGCCGAGTGTTCTTTTTCAGAACGAGTCCAAAAACATCATGCAATTTTTTTTCTCTTATTATATCAGCTAGGAGTCAAAATTTTTATAGATATCATCATATATATATATATATATCATGATGTTTCATTGTTTCTAGTCGATGTCTAGCCACTAAGCAAAATTTACTTAGTGTGTTAGAAATTATTTATAACCATTTCCATTTGCCGATTAGAGGAAAATCAAATAATGCCGAGTGTTCTTTTTCAGAACGAGTCCAAAAACATCATGCAATTTTTTTGAATTTTGCACTTCACTAGTACTAGAAATTATGTCCTCAGGGTTCGATGTTGGATTAGTTCAGAACGAAGTAATGGTATTTTAAGAAAATTTTCTTATTTTTATGTTGTCATTATATGTTTGCTCTAATAACAATAAAAATAACATGTTTGATGTTTGTAAAAGAATATGGTCTTAAAGGTCACACGATTGAAAGATGTTAGAGATAATGACTTGAAAGGGTAATGGATTTTCGACTTTGTTTACATTTAATCGTTAATTTTTTTATTATTTATTTGTTACTGAATTATTGAAACTATTAATATTTTACCTTTATGATCGGTAACAACTGTTCATAAGGGTAAAATGTGAACAATTTCAATAGTTTAGTGGCAAATACATAATGGAAAAAAGTTGAGTGACTAAGGTGCTGTTTGATTTTCTGAAGCAAAAATTCATGAAGTCTGCGGACCACCTCTGCAACCCTCTGCAGTAGAAGAGGTGGACCAAACGACTGCAGATTATAATAAGAAGCGTGTTTGTTTTTTTTAACATCTGCATACTGCTGCAGATATTAAAAAATTAAAATAAACTAATTTTATAAACCGAAAATAGCTTTTTAATACGTAAAATTTAATAATGTATAACATTTCGGTAAAAATTAATGATATTTCAGTAAAAAAGAATGATATTTCAACAAAAAATAAAGATATTTTAGTAAAAAATAATGATATTTCATCAAGAAATTATCATTATTGAATATAAAAAAATAAAAAATAAATTAATAAGAATAAACGAAAAAAAAACGGAAAAAAAATGTGAAATAAAATTTTAATAACATATAATCAAAATTTCAGCAATAAAAAAAGAAGAAGAAGAGGTTGGAAGAGGTTAGAAGAGGCAGTACAAGTGCTGCGCCAAACAGAGCCTGCGTAGAGGTTTTTGACTTAAAAGACTTTTAAAAAACAAACAGCTGCGAGAT